CCCCCGAACCCTGAACCCTAAACTAAGCAATCCAAAGCCTCGACCGCAAAACATCGCAACCTCGCCAAGAACTCGAAACTCCTGAGCCTTTTCAACCGATTCAAGAAGCGTTTCGTTTAGGGCCTTTAGGGTTCAATTTACAAAGGTTTAGACCCTAAGCCCTAAACCCTAAGCCAGAAATATAAACTTTAGGGTTATGATTATAGGGTTTAAAACCCTAAACCCTATAATCATAACCCTAACTCCCTAAACCCTACGCCCTTTATAGGGATTAAGACTCTAAACCCTGCAGGCAGATGCTGTGACCTTGCTTCGAATTCGCATCCGGACCGGCCGGAGGCTCCACAGGGAGGGCGGTTTACGGTTTGGGCTTTAAGGCTTTTAAGGGCTTTAAGGATTCAGGATTTAAGGTTTAGGGCTTGAGGGCTGTACATATGGCTTGAAGGATTCAGGATTTAAGGTTTAGGGCTTTAGGGCTTTCAAAGGCTTTAAGGATTTAGGACTTAAGGCCTATAGCGTTTTGGGGTTTTCGGTTAGGGACGGTTAGGGTTTAGTCTAGTGTTTGAGCCTGTAGCCCCCAAGTCCGATAGCCCTAGACTAAACCCAGAACCCCACAGGTTTAGGGTTTAGGGTTTAGGGGTTTAGGGTTTAGGGGTTTAGGGTTTAGGGTTTAGGGACCCTTTACCTCATGGAACACTAACCCCCCAAATGCAAAGCTGGGCGAGGCATCAGATCCGCAGCCAGTTGGCCTACACCGGCCATGCTGCAGTGCCCGAGTTGCATATGTGATATGGGAGTTTCTGAAATTAGGGGCACCTCATTTCGGGGTGCTTATAATAAGGATCCTACTATTTAGGGTACTATCTTAGGGCCCCCTATTCTCGGAAACTCCCACATGTGATATGACGCCAGCCGATAGTACGATTTGGGGCTGAGGCCGTAGGATGTAGATACACGAGTAGGCCGTAGGATGTAGATACACGAGTCGTATGCCAGTTTCAGAAATGCGAGACCCCAAATAGACCACACACGCTCACGTTCTCGTGACAAGCACTCTTACTTTCGGATCAGCTCTTTCTCAAGCTCCCATCAGATAGCAATATCAACAAACGCCCATTGATTCGGGATCCAGGTGTGGGGTTGAATCGGCCTCCTTGCAACAAGTCAGAGATATCGATCGTCTGGAAGGAATGCCTTGGGTCAGAAAGATCGAGGTTCAGGTCCGTTATTCATGCCTTTCCAATCGAGTCGCTGCAGGGCGGCCGATGTCGGGTAGCTATGTCGTCAAGGGGTCATCTGTGTGCCACTGTGTGGCTGACTGCCGAATCTTCTCGCACAGCCAGGGCACAAGAGACCCCACCACATAAATCATAATGTATTTACATTTGTAGTCTCTCTCTCTCTCTCTCTCTCTCTCTCTCTCTCTCTGGGTGTATATGTATATATATATATATATATATATGCACACACACACACACACATTTTGTAGATGTATAAGAGTAGGCTTTCATCGGTCCAACACAGGACCCATCTCCAAACCAATGCTGGATTCGACAGCGGTTTTCTCAAGGAAGGAGGAAGACAACAGGGCAGTGCGATAAGCGGCTTGTGGCAATGGACTGGCAGAGCGCCAAGTCGTAACAATCACCGACCGATTAGATCGCCGTCCCTGCCGTAAGATGGACAGGCACGCGACAGGCTCTACAGCAGTGTGACAACCTACCTCTCAGACGTGTTCCGGCCTGCATACAGTCGTTCGGGGATCCTGTGTCTGAAGTCTATGGAGTGGTGAGTTTTTTGCTGAAACCTGAGGTTCTGGCTCCAGGATTTAGGGATGAAACCTCCAGTCTCCATTGTAGTACCTTTTTGGTCTAGTTCGTGGGACCCGAAATAACGAAACCTATGATCGGCCGCATCTTACGCTGTGATCGGCTTGCATCTTAATTGAGCAGCGGTTTGTTCGTCATAGGCGTTTTGCTGAAGAAGTGCAAGGATCCTCTACAGTTTTGGGGTCACCGCCTCAACCGTTTCAGCCATTTCTCAGCTATTTCCGGAAGCATGACCGTGCTTCCGAGAGGTTTTTTCGAGGATCGGTGGGTGTAGGTTTAGGAATTGAGGGTTTGGGGGTCTACAAGCTGGGGTATACAGATTCAGAGATTAAAGTGATTAAAGGATGGGGCCCCGATTCGCATGGGACTGTGTGGTTCAGGAATCTCGAGATTGAAGGTCTGCCGTACAATTTTGGAGCCCAAAACTTGCCAAAGAGCCCAGAACCAATTAATTGATTAGCCAAATTAGTTAGTGATTAGTCTGACTGATTATATGGTTAGTTCCATTAGTTAATCATCAATCAAAGAAAAAAGTGGCTAGCAATTGTTACTGAAGGAAACTCATATGCAAATTAAACTAGCGAAGTTGATTTTCCATAGTTTAAAGAGCAAGTTGAGCAGAATATTTTACAGCGCACTAAGATCTTAGATCCAATGAGACTTGCGTGCTTTTGGGACTTGGGACTTATTATGTGGGGTTATAACTAAGCTAACTACACTTAGAAGTACTGATAATCCCAGTTAAGGTACTTATAACCCTGCATACTAAGTCCCGTGATCCTCCAAGTAGTTGACGGGTATTGGGCTCTTGGGGCTCCTAGTTAGTCTCCTTGTTGGAACCTCATGGCGGACGACTGAAGGCGTTTAGGTTTCAATTTTTTTAGCACCCTGAAGCCTGAACCCTAAGCCCCAGGGGTTCTGGGTGTAGGGTTTAGCGTTTTGGAGTTCGAAGTGATAAGCTGATCACCCAAGTAGTATAGCAGCCGGAAATGATTGCCAATATGTTTCATTCCTTAAGGTTCCTAGGTAGAGGTATACTCATGGCACACCCCAAAACCCTAATCCAATTATCAAGGCCCCTATGTTACCACACCCTAGACGGCTGCGATCTGATGGTCAAGGCACTGGAAGCGTATGTCCAAGAATAAGATTACCGCCTCACATCCAAACAAGCCCTAAACCTGCGACCCTAGACCCTGCAACCAGCCCTTACCCGGAAGGTCTTGCTGTCGGAAGGCTTGTGGGTTTGGGAGTAGCATGCCGCCCTAAGCCCAGTATTGTTATTATCGTTATTGTTGTTAGTGTCGTTGTTATCAGTATTATCTCTTATAAGTTATATACACATGTGCATCTATGTCTCTCTTTCTCTCTCTCTCTCTCTCTCTCTCTCTCTCTTTGTTCGCCTATTCATTTGTGTGTGTATTCTTTGTTCTTATGTTCTTCCGTCCCCAGCACTGTTGACGGTTGACACGACAATTAGACACATAATAATATGCAGTATAGTATACTGCCCTATATTCCATTCTGGTATACTGTGGCATATTTCGTGGACGACGATCGTCCGTATAGTAGAGTGTGTTATCGTACTTTATCGTATTTTACTTTTTTACAGCATAGTATCGTGAGCTATTGTATACTATCGCACACACACACAAGAGGCATCACACGTTAGAGGCCTCAGAAATGCTCCCAAGTATGCAGCGGTTTCTCAAGCCCAAAGAGGCCGTCGAAACGATAAGCGGCACGTATCATGCGACGCCTGCTTAAGTTTAGTGGGAAGTAGAGTTAGAGTTTACACCGCCGAAATCCCAGGCCGTTTTGGGATTGGATTGCGCCGAGGCTTGCATTTGTGACCGGAACTGGCTTCATCGCCGGCGCCTCGCCTTTTTCGATGCTGAGGGAATTCTACAGGAGGCCGAGCACAGGGTTCCATAAGTTTTTGCTAACTGTGTTCAGGGTTTCGGGCCAGGGTTTAGGGGTTAGGATTTAGGGTCTGTGTTTTCCGGTTAGGGTCCACTGCATTGTATCTCATGATGCCTTGTGGTTGTATCTCATGAGGTCTTGTGCCTAGGGCCTAGGGTCGTGGTTGCTATCACCAAGGTATGTAATTGTTACAGGCAGCACGGACAATCGTCATGGGAGCCAAACTGTTACTACTGGTTACTACCAGTGAATACTTCAGCATGTCCGGCGTTTGGCACAACTTGTGGCAGCAGAAATGGCAGGCATCACATCGTCCATTGGTTCGTTTGCCCTCAAACGCCTAGTATAGAGGCCATAAGTATACTATAAAGGAGCCCAAGACCCTGTTCTCATCATCACAGCCCCGGCTTGAATTTTCCCAGCATAGCTTGGACATTGAAGTTGATCCAATGTAAGATATGCAAACTCAGGGGACCACCAAAAAAGACCCGGAAAGCATTAGGATCTCCAGCAAATAGACTAGCCTGAAACCTAAACCCTTAATTTTCAGAAGTCCTAAACCCATAACCCTGGGTTTCCCCTGAATTAAGGAATATACCTTAAACTATAGTAGGATCCCGGATATGATTTAAGGGATATTCCTTAATTAAGGAAAATTGGAGTCTCTGGGTATCCGAAGCCCTAAGTTCGAAACCCTAAACCCTGAAGTCCTGTGCAGGTGACTTCGGAGCTTCCTTCAGACCTGAACGCGAGTTTGGAGCAGTGTCGGTGGCATCGCTGGGAGAAAAGAGGCTTCGGTGAGAGTTCCTTTCAGGGTTCCGATAAGAGTTAACGGTTTAGTTAGCGTTCCTTTAGGGGTTCCTTTCAGGGTTCCGATAATGGCTTAGGGTTTAGTGTTCCTTGAAGAGTTCCTTTCAGGGTTCCCTTTCGGCGGCTTCTTTTCAAGTTACTTTAAGGTCTTTGGGGGTTAGGTTACAGTTGAGGATATAAATCCTGCATTACTTTTATCACCCTAGACCATGCGAATTCTGGAATCCCCCGCCGCTTGACACGTGAACCGGAGTTGAAGGCTATTATAGGAGTCTAAATAATTAGCAATACTGTTTTTGGGGGTTCCTTATTATGATTAACGATCTTTGCTATTTTGGTGGTCCCTCATTATAACTATAATATAAATATAATGGCCCCAAAACCCTATTGTAGGCCCCTATGGTAACTTATTCAGCCTGCTCCACATGCTCCACAGAGGTCAGCAAGGACATGGTCCGAGAAGGCTTCACTTGGTGCCAAGCTCAGCCCAGCTGCAGGGCTCTGGATAGCAGCTAGGTTCCTTAAGAGGTTCTATACGGGTTCTTTAATGGGTTCTATCAGGGTTCTATAAGGGATCTCTAAGGATAGCAGCTAGGTTCCTTAAGAGGTTCTATACGGGTTCTTTAATGGGTTCTATCAGGGTTCTATAAGGGATCTCTAAGGATAGCAGCTAGGTTCCTTAAGAGGTTCTAAAAGGGTTCTTTCATGGGTTCTATCAGGGTTCCTTATGGGGTTCTATGAGGGATCTTTAAGGGTAGTAGCTACGTTCCCTAAAAGGGTCTAGAAGGGTTCCTTAAAGGGGTCTATAAGGGTTCCTTAGATTCCTTAGAGGGTTCTTTTAGGGATGTTTAAAGGGGTCTATCTACAGGGGTTTAGGGTCTACTAGGTTCCTGGCGTAATACCCTTTTGCCCTTTTTGTTTTGGGGTTTCCTTATTGCACCCGAATAGTAGGGAAAATGATACCCTTATTATAGAGGGGGCTACTCAGGAGGTAGGGTCTTCTGTTGTGCGGGTGCGGGCGTTGGGGGGTTTACGGTCCGTTTCCGGGTTCCTCTTGTGTTTGATCCTCTTATCTGCGATCTATGAGTATGGAGTTAATAGGCCTTAGCACCCTGAATTACTACAGGTGGACACCCCAAACCAAAAGCCATAAGCCATCTACCCTAGACCCTGAACCACAGACGCGGAACCATCATAAAGCCGTGGCTTCGTTCAACCGGCACGCCTTAAACCCTGTACTTCGTACTATTATCCTCAACTACTGACGTTGCCGTTTCCTTGCTACCGGAACAGGGCTCTTCTCAACAGCAGCACCCGTAATTAGAGCTTTAAGTTAAACATGCATGTACGTCAAAGTCGCAACACCAGAAAACCCTGAAGCCCGAAATGGAACAGAGGCCTACGAGATGAACAACGAGGGCATTTTGAAAGCGACATCCCAACCCCAAACCTTAAACCCTAAATCCTAAATCCTTAACCCGGAACCCTATACCTTACATCATTGCTTTAAAAGGCTGGGGCCTCGGGAATGAGATCTTCATGCCTCGACCTTTCTTCTCCTCTGTTTTGTACCAGACTCGAGGCTCCGTTACTGGTATGAAGTTATGAAGAAACCCATTAATCTGAACGTCATCGAGTTTACAGCGGGAGGCAGGGAGCCCTGAACTGAAGGGGTTAAGGGTTTCGGATCTAGGTTTCAGGGTTTAGAGTTCAGGATCTAGATTTAATAATATGTGGGCAGAGATTGAGAATAGGAAACATGACTGCCACAGGTGAGAATGGGTACGCTACAGTCGGAGGTCATGGCCGTAGTGTGCCATGCACAGTGTGCTTGTGGCGAGGCTTAAAGCGATTGATGGCGAAATGGTGAAGCCTGCTGCTCAGAAATGTGGAAGTGGGTTCTGTCGAGTTCGTGATCACAGATACTGAAGCCCGAACGTCAACCATTGAGAATTTCAAGGCTTGGGGCCTTAAAGCCTAACCTTGCCAGAATCCCTAAGAGCTGGGAAAGTTCCGCAGTTTCTTGGACGAGTCAATGAAGGCATTTGTAAGCAGAACTCAGACAGACACGATGCCGCACAACCTCCACAGCACACATCCGATTTTGGCCATTGCATAAACCCTTTCTTTCGATCGTTCTTAATTTCTTTAGTTCTTTCTTTCTTTCGTTCTTTCTTTCTTAGTGCACCATGAGCGTAGGAACCCGCAGATTGGGAGCCATAGGCTCATTCAGACCCCAAGCGAACTGTTTTCAGAGCCTTACTAAGCCAAGCTCCCCAAACCGGAAGCCCTCCAAAGAAGTAACCATGCAATATTACGATGCCAAAGGGTCCAAGTACCATTGTAGCAGCTACTCAATAGATATTTTGTGCCCAGAAGCTTATCCTATCCTATTGCTTGGACCCTGTAGGTAAACTGGTCTCATATCCGAAACCCTAGACCCTAAACCCTAACCCCTAAATACTAAACCCTAAACCACTAAACACAAAACCCTAAATACTAAACCCTAAACCCCTAGACCCTAAACTGCCCTTGTCTTGTCAGGAAGGTGCCCAAGCCAGAGACCCTGGAGGCGCTGTGGAGCGCTCGGAAGGGGCTTTTGGGGGCCTCTTCTTCGGGGGGGTTTTGGGTTTTAAGCTTTGAGGGTTTTTTGGATTCCTTTGCAGGGATCTGTAAGGGCTCCTTTAAAGTAGGTTTAGGGATTTTGGATTTAGGGTGTAGATGTTAGGCCTTAGGGTTAAGGGTATGGGGTTTGGTATTAAAGGTCCTAGACTTTTGAAGGGTTAAAGATTCTACGTGCTTCATAAGAGGCTGGTATGGGGTTTATGAAGGGTCTATATATAGGGGTACAAAGAGGCTTTCATAATGGTGTCATGCCTTAATAAGGCTTTACAACTGTGTGTATAGGTTATACATGATTTCGAACTCAGCGTGCGTTAGTATGTAAAGGGGTCTACCATCGGCCCCTCGGGTGCTTGCCGAGCTCGCACTTGTAGGCTTGTTCACAATGACTTCCTTCCCTCCAACTACTACTTAATTCTTTGTGCGTTTAGGGTTCACGGTTTAATTAGTGCATTGAAGGTACCAGGATGCCTATCGGCAACCAAGCCACAAACTATGGTTCGTGGTATGGGCGCCACGATGGTTCTGCACATTCGTGATTCTTGCATCATTTTCAACGCATACATGAAGCACAGCGCGCAGATTCGTGGTGATGGCACCCACTGTACCCCTTAACTGAAGAATGTCAAGCAGACCTATGCAAAACTGTTGGGCATTAGACCCGAAACACCTTTGAATGCGAAACCCTCAAACTCTGACCCTAAAGCCCTGAACCAGACCCTACTTGGAGGATCACGGAATGTAGTCAGCAGGTTATAAGTAACTTGAATGTAATTATAGCTGTAGTTACTTTACTTCTATCCCCACTTACTAAGTGCCATGGTCCTTTAAGTGAGCCGAAACCCTTGGCAACTTCGTTGTCTTTCGGCTAAGGAGCCGCTCCTTCTACGAGGCTCGCGTCTTTGCATGATTTAGGGCTTGTTACTTTAGGGTTTGTCGTTGTCGTTGTTCACTGTTTTGCTTTGATGTGTTCTCTTGTTGTGCAGTTTGATTACGGAGTTGGGGAATGAGTTTCAGTTGGGGGTGTTTAAGCTCTCGTTCTTCTGTACTACTGTACAGTGTACAGGTTTCGTTTGTATTCGGTGGTTTGTTCATGACCGTTGTCTTGCAGGATCTTCGCACATGACGCTTGTATTGTGTATCTCTGCAACACCCTGTCTTGACTACGAGGGCTTCTCTGTTGCTCTGAACCCTAAGCCCTAAAGATTGCAGATGGAAGCCTTCCGACCTCACCCAAACTCGCGGGGCTTGGGGTTTAGTGAATAAGGTTGAGAATTTAGGGCAAGAGTTCAGTGCCGCAGCCATCCGCGTCCGAAGCTGTGCGAAAAGCTACGCAAGTCTTTCAAAAGTCGCAATGCTCGGACTTATCCCTGACAAGTATTTGTCAGGGTGGAGAAGGGCTTTCATTGTTTCAGTGCTTCCGGGACGATGGGGTTGACAGCTTAGTTAAGGTCACAAGGAGACCCTAAACTCGAAGCCAAAGGCTTCGAGGTCCGTGGAGGTGCCAAGTTTCGGAAATTAAAACTGAGGGGAGGGACTGCGGAGTTCTGATGGACATCATGCTGCAGTGTAGGGTTTCGGTGTTGGGGACGGTGGTGGGTTTAGGGTGGAGGAGTGGCCCCAATGACTTCTTCATATATAGGTCCTAGGTTGCCCAAGCTTCCTGAACACGTTGGCTGGTGTTCATACAGACTGCGAAACGACTTGACGAATCTGTTTAGGTCCAGGCACGAATTATCGTGCAGACTGCCAGCACGGAAGGTTGAGTGCGCGATTGCTGCCTCTCCCTCTCTCCCTCTCTCATTTCCGCTCTCTCTCTCTCTCTCTCTCTCTCTGTCCCTCTCTCTCTCTCTGTCCCTCTCTTTCTCTCTCTCTCTCTCTCTGTCTATCTCTCTCTCTCTCTCTCTCTCTCTCTCTCTCTCTCTCTCTCTCTCTCTCTCTCCCTCTCTCAGACTAACAACCGGCAGCCAGCTTTGGAAGAAAGTCGATTTGAAGACGCACCAAGCTGAATTCTGGAAAAGTTCGTGACCTAGGGATGTATGTGACCTAGGGATTGCGACCCATTCTGTGGATTCATTGCGGCTACTGGTTTCGGGTATCCAACAAAAATGCCACGGCCTGGGCCTGAAGGCGCCAACAAGCTTAATCTTTGAATCCTGCATCCGAACGGCGGCAACACCAAAAAGAACAGTAGTAGTAGTAGTAGTAGTAGTAGTAGTAGTAGTAGTAGTAGTAGTAGTAGTAGTAGCAGTAGTCCGTAGTAGCAGGAGCAGGAGCGGTTGCAGTAGCAGTAGTGACACCAACAATCATAGTAGTAACCGTAGTAATGTTTGTATGAGATATGGTCACGCCATGAATCTTAAGCCGCCCCATCTGCTATTTCCCAAGCCCATCGTCAAAAGTCAGTAAACGCCCAAGTTCAGGTCGTCCCTTTGCTGGATTCTGAGGGGAAGGCCGGCACTTTCGTTGGGATTTGAGTGTCCGGTTTTTTTGGGCCTGGGTTGAGGCCGCAGCACTGGGGGCTAAGAGGAATAAGGCTTCAGGATCTTCGGCATGGCCCAGATACTAAGCCTTCACCATTTTGAGCAAAGATAACCAGCCACGCGCTTGTTGCAACGCGCATGGGGGTTTGCGCGCACCAACATGCAAAAAGACTCGCAGACATCCAAAAACGCATGTGTTAGGTTAACTTTGATCTTGAGTCTCAGGCCGTGTGCTTTGGGAAGGAGCGTCTGGGCTGAAGGGTTTCTCTTGAGATCGCCGTCCTAAACTTACTAAGCCTTGAAAGGTCTAGGGTTTATGGGGCTTGAGGGTGTAAGGATTCAGGAACCCAGAAGTATCCAGGTGGGTTGACGTACGTTTCAGAGCTGCCGCCAGCATCGAAGTCTCAAGCAACTGCTTCTACGATCTTTGTTTCTATGGTCATGCTTCCTCCTGTATCAACGTAGTCTTTAAACAGAGCTCCTGCAAGTAAAGGTCGTTCGGATTACCCATTGCAACACGTTGGCCACCGGAAGTTACCAAATGAGCTACCAGCAGATCTGATAGAGGAGCTTTAATAATTACCTATACTAGTTGGGGGTTCCTTATCACAAGTATCGTATTTTTGAAAAGCCACGGCTTCCGCCGGCCAACAGCTTTTGAAGCCATATGTGGGACTTAGTATTTCGGGCTATTAGTCGTTAATTGGGCTTAGAAGTAATGAATTATGACTGTAGTTACCTTACTTATAACCCCAATTACTAAGTCCCATGATCCTGCAAGTAGGGATGAGGCCCCAGGGCCCAGCGCCCTTGACCAAAAGCCGTCGACACTCTGCGCATCTCATCCCTCCCCGTGCGCAAACGCTGGCCAAACCGCGGCTGACAGCAGAAATCCTAAACCCAGGACAGTTCGGGGTTCTGCCGGTGAAAGCCGCAAACGGGAAGTTACTTTCCTCATCGTAGACCCTAATAAGGGTCCATGTACCCAAATAGTATATACTTTGGCATTAAAGTATTCCGAGTATAGGTACATTGGGCCCAAAGTATATACTGTTTGGGCACATGGACCCCTTAAAGCCTAAACCGTACACCCTTACAGGACCCGTTCAGCAACTTTGAAGGAACCCTATTTGTGCACATGGACCCTTAGCGAGATGTAGCCAAAGGGTCCCTCGAGTTCCTCGTACTTTGTTGGTGCAAGAGCTCCTAAACTCACGTAGCCACGTTTAGGGTTTTGGGGTTGGTGCAAAAGCTCATAAACTCACGTAGCCACCTTTAAAACCTTAAACCCGAACGAACTGTCGGAAGCCGTAAAGGCTTTCAAATGCCAAACTAAACCTCCAAGATAAAGATCCCAAATGCGAATCCGCAATTTCCTTGGAGGAGGCCATCACCACCAGGGACAGCTTCCAGCGGCGGTGCCCTGCAGTTGTTAGTTTCGGAGTTTCGGGTTTTCAGGTTTAAGGGTTTAAGGTTTCGGGTTCAACTTTTGGGGGTGTGTTGAGGCTGCGGTTGCACAGGTTGCGAGGCCATGCCATGATCTGGCGGTTTGCAGAGAATTCGGAAATTGATGCCGGGGAGCTTCAGAGAGGTTTTGGAGTAAAGTTTTCGGGTTGAAGCCTCTGGGATTTTGTGGGTTAATGCTTGGCCAAGCCCGATCCAGTATTACAGTGTAGAACCAGGAAAAGATTGCCCGAACTCGACATATTGCACCCGTATGTCATGACGAATGTTGCAAAAGCACCAGTTGTGCGCTGTCTTCATGCTACTTTCGTCAAGTCTTGCGTGCCGCGTCAGGTGCAAACCCTAAACCCTTCACCCTAAACTCTGAAAAGGCTTTTTGACGTCTCTGCAACGTCCCGTGCATGGATACATTTTTGTCGGGCCCCAAAAAGCACCAAAGCAAACATTAGCATAGGGATAATATCCCACATAATATAAAATTTGCTGGGCTTATGTCCTTTTGGGGCCCCTATTCTGACGACCTTAAACCCTAAACCTAAACCCGCAGGTTGAAGGCTGTCTCGATGCTCTCGGACATCGAGGCATCGCTGCCCCTAAACATCCTGGGTTGGGATCTTTTTCAATGTCCCGTACTATCTTGTAGAGAACCATAATAGTAATTAATCTTCAAATCGCTTAAAGGACAACTCAGCATCCAAGCGTGTAGAATCTGAAATGACTACTGATGCAACTCGTAAGGCTTCCTTGTTACACGGTTTAGGGTTTCGAGGGGTTTAGGGTTTTAGGGTTTAGGGTTTTGGCTTAGTTTAGGGTTTGGACTTTGGGTTTAGGGTTTACAAAAACAGACGCTAAGACCCAGTCCCAAAAATCGAGGTCCCGAAATTAGGCCCCACAGACCCGGGCTTGGGGGCCTCGAGCTCAGAGTTTGTCCCGACAAACTCGGCGAATCGAAGTTGCATAGCCTCTCAAGTGCAAACTTCAGTTTGGAGGTTGAATACAGTCACACCCCGTTGGGAGCAGAACATACTCCCGAGCTGTTGTAGTGTAGTAGTGGTAAAGCGCCATGTTCATCCAAGACTTTCAAACTCAACATTCCTGCAACTTTGAACTTCTAGACAAGAGCTGATAATGTTCAGATAAGACTCAGAGTGTTTCACCAACAGTTTTACCGACCCTGTCGACACCGGCAAAAGTCGCTCCTGCTAATTCTGCCTACCGGTGCGAGCGCTAGTGCTGCTACTACTGCTGCTGCTGCTGCTGTGTCTACTAGTGCTGCTCCTCTACTGTTGATGCTGCTTCTATCCTACCTCGTACTCCTACGCCCCTCCTCTTCCCACTGCCTGCTGCTGCTGTTAACCATGAGTACTGAATACGACCTGACATGGTATCTTTTCAGAAGAGGAACCCTTTAGATTTTGAATCCCACAAGCCTGAACAATCGCAACAGCAGAAAGGCAGCACACTCGCAGTGGCGAGTGCTACTGGCGGATGACCCGGCATCACAAGGCTGTACCGTTTTCGCTTGGGGATTGTTAGGTCTTGCAGGTTCACAGTTTACTGCAGGTCTGAATCCCAAACTCTAAATTAAGCTGCCTAAGCCTAAGCCTACAAACGGTGAACCCCTGGAAGCCTTCAGATGAGCAAGCTGAGAAGGCTTCCCGGGCCGCCCATTTCACGGTAGTTTCAGCAATGCATCTTGAAACATGTCGAGGATCCTTCAATCATGCAGTTCCCGGGATAATTGAGCAACTCTGTCTCCCTTAAGGGGTCATAAGCAAGTTGAAACAACTACTGCTAGCAGTCCTTCATAGTCATAGTCCCATTCGAAACTGTAGTATGATATACTCCATTGGCTTTCCGATTAATTAGGCTTGCCAAGCCCCCTATGTCACAGGGCTCTTTGGTGTTCTCTTCGATGGACTTTGGTGAGCCCCAGGTAGCAAGCTCTCTGAAGAAGTCCTTCAGCAGACTCTTGCCGGCAGTGAGCTTTAGGGGTTTACGGTTCGATTGCTCTATTGTTGTTTAAAGGTTTGGGTTGTGGGCTTGACGTTGCAGGTCTAGAGTTTGGAGTTGAGGGCTTCGTCTGGATCTAGGTTTTGATGCTTTCCCAAGCTTTGTGGGTTTGGGGGTTCAGGGTTCAGGATCTTTGTGGTTGCAGAGAAGACAGGGGAGTTTTTTTCTTCAGGATGCCATAAAGTGCAATCTGCTTTCCTTGACATTTGAACTCTTCGCAGGTTCTAGACTTCTCAATCCATGATCCGCTGCCGGGATGTTCCTGCAGCTTTTAGGCATTTGGGTGTTACTTTAGCATACTTTGGGGTCCAGTTCAGAAGACTTGGATTTGGGACGAAGGGGAGAAAGGGATTCGCCAGAAGAGTTGAGACGTGGGTACGTTCTAATGTATGAGGCATGGTGCAGATCAGAGCCTTTTGTACACTGCAAGCTTGGCGGGGCAGAGGATCTGCTTCTATGCAATCAGACTTTGGTTCCCTTGCGTTGCCGCTTGAGTTGGGTGTTGAGTTTAGGTCACGTTTGAGAGATTAGGGTGCGCCGCATGAGTATAGTCACCAAATGTAACATGCCAGTCAAAATGATCCTTAACTAAAATGCCCCTAGGATTACTATCCCCTTCCGCTTTGCTTAGGGTTCTGGTTGTAGTTAGCAGTATAGGGCGCTGGGTGAACTTCAGAAACCTAGCCCCTGAAGCAGAAGCCCTACCAGGGCCCCCCTTCACCTTCATAAAAGGGCTCCATATCCCTCTTTAAGGTGTGTATTGGGGGGGGGGGGGGCGGGGGAGGGTCTAGCTCAGCCCAGAAGCCATGATCAGGCTCTACAAGAGCCTGAAGTGCGACTTGCGCCACTGGCCCAAGAAAGATGGAGAAGGGGGTTCCATGGTGACGTGTTGATAGTTCATTCCGAGCTACCCGTGAACGGAGCCTTTATACCGCCGTACAGAAAAAAGTATAAAGCTTCGTATAAAGACCGTGATGGATTGCATTTTTCCTGATTGATGCCTAGCTGTGAAACTTGCAAGAAAGCTCTTGAGTGCTTACGGCTCAACAGAGATCGAATTAAGCAATCCCTCTAGAAGTTCTTGGGCTAACTGGGTTTGAGGTCTAGAGTTAAGTCAGGGTTTAACGGAGATCTTCGGAGTCAGGTTCGCTGCTTTGGCTTCGGGTTTCGGGCTTCCTGTTTTGGGATTTAGCGCGCCTCGGAGGGCATGGCAGCGGGGTTTTGGGATATGGGGGTTTAGCCGGGTTTATGGTAGTTAGGTAGTTACAGCTTGTCCTTTCCTAGGGCGTTCTTTCAAATCATGTTGCAGCGCTCAGACGAAGAAGAGTAAGGTCGTGTTTTGGACGGTGTGCAGTGTCGTCTTTATGGAAGCTTTTTCGTCTTCGTAGTCGTAGTGTTTGTCGTAACAGCAGCGAGACTCGCTTCACCGGCCGTGTTTGTAGTCGTAGTCTTCCCCTTTGCAGGGGTCGTGGTCGTGGTCTTGGCCGTTAGCGTGGGTTGGTAGTAGTGGTAGGAGGATTACGAGTAAGCCAACCGCCATAGCAGCACAGGCAACACCGAGTCGCCCATGATCGACGCCCAAGTTAAGCCCTAAACCCTAAATTGCACACGATTTCCGGGCTGAAATCCTGCAAAATTGAACCCCGAACCTTCAGACCGAAGCCAACTCCGAAGCTCCATTAGCCAAATTATTGAACTCTTGCTTCTCAGAATTTTGGGAGGATTTAGAAAGTAGATCCCCTAATTTGGGGCCCTATACTATCAAGGGTACTTTACAGGAACCCCCAGGCCCATTAAGGGATCTGCTTTTTGGATCCGCCCGGGAATCTGGGTTCTCAGGTGCAGAGAGCCCAGGTGCACCTGCCTGGCAGCTAGTGGAGAAGTGCGCAGGGGCTTCGCGGTTTTGAGGAGCTTGGATGTAGATAGCTTTGGGTTTGTCTCTGGGACGTGGTGAAAGGTAAGCCTTCGAGGGCTTCAGGTTTGAAGGGGGCATGTCTCTGCAACTTGGAATCTGCCCATTTCAAAGCCCGGCCACCCTCCGGAAGGCATGCCTCATAGAGGAGCTTCACTACAGTCACGACACCCTAGACTCCAAACTCCAGGGTTCAGAGAAGTCTGGTTCATGGATTGTGTGCTGCTGAATCTTCAAGCATGACAGAGAATACACGCTCCATAGAGCTGCAAGATTCAACTCCCAAAGCCCGTAGCTTTAAGCCCTGGAGCCTGAAACAAGAGCGAGCTGATAGGAAGCACCCTAAAACCTTGTGAATTTAAACCCAGCTCCACAACGCCCGCAGAAATAAACTTAGGACCTAGTGGAATCTTTATTTAGCGAACCCACAAACCCGAAGCACTAGACCCAAAAGCCCTAAGCCAAAACCTTAGACGCCACACCCCAACCCTAAACCCTAACCCCCAAAAAAGCTAAACTCCAAAACCCCTTACACCTCAAACCCCCAATTAAGGTACGTATAACCATAGTTACTAAGTCCCATGATCCTTTAAGAAGGGAAGCTTTCAAACCCTACGGTAAGAGACCCTGCACTCGCGACGCATCTCCCTGGCCCCCTGCGCGCCCTCCCGCGTGGGGCAGGCCGGGTTTCTGACGAAGCTCCGGCTTTACGGTTTAAGGTTCTAGTTTTTAGGGGTCAAGGGTTTTAGGGTTTAGGGTTTTAGGGTTTTGGGTTTTAGGGTTTTAGGGTTAGGGTTTAGGGCTCTAGGGTTTTAGGGTTTGGGGTCTGGGGTGGAGGGGCTCCAGTTGCCCAGGGTGTGCAATAATATACGGTCAAAACCGTGCTCTGACAGACAAGATTATATTGTACTATACTGGAAGGCTATCTGTGCCACTGGCTTGCCACAAATCCGTAAACAGCCCTGAATGAAGCATTAGCCTAAATACCTCAGGCTCTGCGCACATCAACCCCAAGCCCCAAGCACCAAAAGCCTCAAGCTTGAACAATGAAGAACCGTTACAGCGTAAAGGAACTGTAAACAAACGCCGTGCATGAATCGTTGGAGTAATCCTCTGCAGCCCTAGAGGAAGCTTTCAACATAGTAGCCTTACATAACCAATAATTAGAATAGGGTTTTGGGGGATATTATGCTACAATTATATCAAGGAACCTCCAGAATCATCTAGGTAATTATTTAGGCTACATTAACAGAATCCTTTTGCTACCCCGTAGCTGGACCAGGCTGGAATCGATGCTTCGACCGGGTACACGCGACGACGCTTACGAGGTGCGGCTCGGGTTTAAGGCTTACAATTTTAGGGTTTAGGGGTTCGGGGTTTAGGGTTTGGGGGCTTTGGGTTGAGGGTTTAGGTGTCAGTTCCTATTGAAGTTGCTTTTGAGTTGGTATAAGTTTATGTTGGGGGGTTCCAGAAGGGTTCTCAAAAGCGCTCTGTGCCCTCTAAGAGTTCTTATGCGAGTTGTACAAAGGCTTCTATACGGACTCTGTAGGGTTTCAGCAGGCTTCGACAAGGGTTCAGCGGGGTGCAGACTTCGGGGCATAGGGGTATCCTGAATTTCAGAGTTTACGTATGCGCCTATGCGAACGTGTGCATTGTGGCTCTTGGTTTGTGGTTCAGGGCTGCGCAGATGCGAGAAACTGTGTTCTTGCTTTTTTTCGCAGGCCACGCTGATGCAGCAGCAGCAACAACAACAGCAGCAACAACCACAACAAAAGGCCAGCACAGGCAACAGTGCTGCCCATTGCGATTATGGTTGCTCTTCTTGTTTTCTTCTTCTACTTCTCCCCCTCCTCCTAGTGCTAATACGACGACGACTACGACGACTACGACGACGACAACTACAACAACAACTACCACAACTACAACAACTACAATAACAACTACTACGACTAAAAACAACAGTAATTCTACTACTCCTGTTGCTGCTGCTGCTACTACTACTACTACTCCTGCTGCTCCTACTACTACTACTACTACTACTACTACTACTACTACTACTACTACTACTACTACCACTACTGCTATTACCACCACCTACTACTACTACTACTACTACTACTACTACTATTATTACTACTACTACTACTACTACTACTACTACTACTACTACGACTACGACTACGACTCCGATGGTGACGACTACCGCTACCACTACCAGTATCACCACCACTACCACTACCACGACCACGACCACCGCCGCCGCCACCACCGCCATCACCACCGCCACCGCCACCGCCTTCGCTACCACCACCACTACCACTACCAGGATCGACTCCTACTACTACTACTACTACTACTACTACTACTACTACTACTACTACTACTACTACTACTACTACTACTACGACGACTGCTACTACCACTACACCGAAGAGCAGTGGTATGTGCCATGCCTACCTTTGTAGACCAGGACTATCAGCGAGACGTCGAGCGGTTTCAGCAGAAGCGCAGCGGCCGACTGCTGACTAATGTTGGCGGTGTCTTCTGCTTCGAGGGCATTCCAACGGAAGGGTTTGTGGATTTTGGAGCTTGCGGAGTTTTCCTACCGACAGCTGAAAGAGCAAAACCGATTCAAAACGACGAAGCATGATTGGGGTTCTCGAGGGAGGCCACCCGGCGAAACAAAAATCGTATTTCACGAAGGTCAGGCTTGTTAGATCATTGCAAAGGCAGAAGAACTACGGGATGCTTGCCGATTGGACTGAAGTCAAGTAGCATCTGAAAGCATCCTGTAAGCCGAGGAGGGGAGAAGCCAGCGAACTTTCCCCAACGCAACAAATTCATTCCAACCGGAGTGGATGTCTGGTACAGCAGCGTGAAGGAACCTTGAGGAGGCAGGCGGAACCGGGGGGCACAAACTATAAACAAAAAGCGTATGCACAAACCCTGATCCGGGATGGGAAACCCAACCCGGAAGTCTAACAGCATCATCTGCCCCCGCGCCTCTCCCCGGCGCTAAATGCTACACCGAAAATGCACCTGAATCCGCGCAGGTGCTAACGCCTTTGGAAACTGCTCAAACGGGAGTTGCTTGACATTCGAGGTACCGTTTCGTGGGCGACCTTATATCAAGGATTCCTTTTCAGGGTTCTGTATGATGGGCATTCTCTATTTTCTGAATCTGAACACGAGCGAAAGCAGTACAAGTAGGGACAACAAGGCCATTGGAAGTCCGAGACATAGCGGACACGCTATGTTTCGTTGGACAAACCCTAAACCCTAAACCCTAAACAACCTTGGAGAATGCATCATTGACCTCATTCAGACTTGACTCCTCTGCACCCTAGACGTTGGACCCACAAGTTTCTGAATCTTGAACCCAAACTACTACAGGGGCCTAAATAATTACGTACACTATTCTGGGTCTTCCTTTTTATACATGTAGTTTCAAGGGCCCAAAACCCTATTCTATCTATGAAGGCCCCTACATTAAGCCCTATGTGCACGTGAAGTTTCCGATAGAAGGAAATGGGGAGCCGTCGCCTACGCGCTCGTCGAGCTTGCCGCCAGATTTTCTTGGGGAAGATCGCGGCTTAAGGCAGCTCATCCTAAACCCTAAACCCTGAACCCTAAACCGAAAGAGAGAAGGATTTCTGTTTGCGTTCGGGCTTCCGGTTTGAGGTTTCGGGCTTAAAGCCTCGCCCTCAAGGATCTTCGCGGATTGGGCCTTGAGGTTGGTGCCTGAAAGAGAGTGAAGTTTGAGAGTAGTAGTAGTAGTAGTAGTAGTAATTAGTGGTAGTAGTAGTAGTAGTAGTAGTAGTAGTAGTAGTAGTAGTAGTAGTAGTAGTAGTAGTAGTAGTAGTAGTAGTACTAGTAGCAGTAGCAGTAGTAGTAGTAGTAGTAGTAGTAGTAGTAGTAGTAGTAGTAGTAGTAGTAGTAGTAGTAGTAGTAGTAGTAGTAGTAGTAGTAGTAATTAGTGGTAGTAGTAGTAGTAGTAGTAGTAGTAGTAGTAGTAGTAGTAGTAGTAGTAGTAGTAGTAGTAGTAGTAGTAGTAGTAGTAGTAGTAGTAGTAGTAGTAGTAGTAGTAGTAGTAGTAGTAGTAGTAGTAGTAGTAGTAGTAGTAGTAGTAGTAGTAGTAGTAGTAGTAGTAGTAGTAGTAGTAGTAGTAGTAGTAGTAGCAGTAGCAGTAGTAGGAGTAGGGCTAGGAGTAGCAGGACGACTAGGAGTAGTAAGTAAAAGGGCGTGAGTCTTGAAGTGCCAGGCAACAGGGCTGCAGGCTGCGGACGGAATAGGCAGTCTTAGGACACTGCAATCTTTCAGTCTGAGCCGCAGCCTTTGAACCCTAAGCCTTACGCCCTGAATCCCAGCAGCTTTGGTTTTTTTGAGAGTTTCAGCACTTCATCAGGTAAATCTCCAGAGTATTCTAGCTAGATTAGATCTTCGATTATGGACACCTGCTGCAAGGCTAATGGCCATTTTAGCTCCAGGGACGTTGTCCAGGGTCGAGGGTTTAGGGCTGAGGGCTCAGTAAAATGTTACCGTGTTATGGTTTTGGGTTGAGGGGTCCCGGGTTGGGGGCTATAGGGTTTAGGCCTTGTGGTCACGTAGGCTCGAGGGTTTGTGCCTTGCGTGCGTGTGTGATCAAAGGCCGCCCAAAGTGCCCCAAAAGAAAGCTGTTGGTACCACAGTTGGCCTCCAGTGAAACTGCACGGTTACCGCAATCTGTCTTGTCTCGTCCAGTCCTGTCTGTCTTTCACAGCATCAGTTCGTGCCGAGCCAAAGTGTGTGTGCGTGCGCACGTGTGCTTCGCGGGATGGACAGGGGGACATAGACCCCTAAACCCTAAACCGAATAGCGCCGTTGCCCCGCAATCTGGCGCGTGGCTTCAGGGTTTTCGGGTCCTTGGCTCTCCAGGTTTAGGGTTTATTTGGGGTTTTATAACTGTAGCTCCACTCTACACCTGAATTCAA